AATCCTGAAAAATATTTGGGGTGCTTAACTTTTTTCCAGGTGTATATATATACACACACACACACACACACATAAGTTCTTCATTTTGTCAATTGTCGAAATAAATGGCTTCTATTTATATTGCTTAATAGTATAAACATATACTATGTTGTTGTTGGGCTTACAATTCTTCTATAATAGGTGTCTGTGACTTGTTAACAATAAATTCAACGATGAATAAACAGCACACACTTTACTTGTTTTCATATAATATATATTCGGAACAAGTTAATTGTATGTACAACAAAGTCTTCACATAATACAGATTACAGGCATATCATAAACGATATTTATATATAGTTCTCTTATTATTATCAAAAGTCCACTTAGGCCTATTCAATTACTTTAGAATTTCAGTTGACAAGTCGAACTATCTTAACTATATTACTATTGTACTAGTATTCTGTGTGTTGTTCACTTACAGTTGTGGGCCAAATTACCATAATTCATTTAGTATTCTTTCTTCTGAAGATCCTCTGTTCCTTTTGTCAAAGTGTACCTAGGCTGTTTCAATTACTTAAGAACCATGGTTTGATGGAATAAAATTATCCTTTTTATCTGTTTTTTTATACTGTTAGTTTCACTCTAATATATTAAACATTAGGCCTATCACATCTATGGTACTTAATTTCACAAACTATATTATCTTTTGCTATTATATGTATATTGTTGTCTGTTTACTGCTTCCTACTCGTCTCACACTATTTATATCCTTATTACCTAGTCATCTAGCCACTTTCTATATTCTCGACATCAATTAGTTATTAACAAAACCTTCTACAATCGTCTGCTTTTAACAAAACTTAAAAATAATAAAATATTCACTAACAAATATAAATTAATCACTAATATTTAAACCAAACAGTCTTTTATATCATGACAGAATATAACTACAGTTATATTATAGCATTACTAGATCTATGGGTGTTTTCTCATAAAAGTGATAGTCATTAACATGATTCTCAATAGTGTTGGATACTGCCAGCCTTTAAAGCATTGATGTAAAAAAAAAAGAGTACATAATCAATGAAACTCAGCTATATATGCTTACCGTAACTGTCACATTTGGTTTGATTAAAAAATTCCTGTGAAATCTATGCATAGTTTCTTCTTCTCCAGCTCGACACACTAATTGCCAATTTCCAAGAGACACATCCTGCAACATAAATGACATTTAGTTTGAGCACACTGTTTTAGTGTACGCAAAAAAATATCATTAAGCATTTATTTTACATTTATATTATGCTTATGGATCTATTATTTTGTGGGTTTATTACACAACAACTGAAGGATAAATTAGGAAATTAAGCTTAGCTTTTGTAAGCTAACAAAATATAAACATACATTTTTCTCTAGCTTTATCATCTTATGTTTGGTATGCACATTCTCAAAAGTGAGTGATTAATATTGGTGCAGGTCTAGAATTACCTATGAATAAAGTATTGGTTTATAAAAAACAGTTTGCTTCAGAAAAATCTTACGTTTTATTCCACATTCTTGTTTTGTATTTCTAAATTTATGTAAGAATTTGTTTACACATCATATGCTATATCTTAATGATGAATGTTTTACTTTTCTAACAGAATTTAATAACTGATTTGCTATATTAAAGCACTTAAAATTATTTAGATTTGTTAAAGTAAAACTCTTCAGAAACCTAAGTTCAAAAAGTATTTCTTTGGTGTGTGTTTTAACGTTTATCGTATACTGTTCTACGTTAAGAGCAACATTAAGTAATTCTTCAAGATCTAGACAACCACTAATATAGCAGTACCTTATCTCCCTTGTTGTGGATTTTAATATATTTTCCCTCTTGATCCTGATCTGTAATTTCAATATCTTCTTTAGCAGATGCTGAAACCTGTCTGGCATTGCTACTTCTTTTCAGAGATGTTTGAGATACCACACGTCTTCGTTTTACCCCCCGGACAGGGGTACCACGGCCTGAAGTACTTCGATCTCTGCTTGTAGTGGAAGTGTCTAAAGTGATATTCAACCTGTAAAACACAGAAAAATGTAATTATATAAACCTCTTGAAAAGAAAATAACAATTATACAGTTAGTAAGAAACAGGTAATAATTAGTAACTGATTAGCTTAAACAACACAAGATCAAGCTTTAAAAGGAATCTTTAGAAAAGTTGAGATTTAAATAATCTAATTCAACTACTAATTTTTAGTAATTAAAAAACAATTTCAAAAAATACACTTGAAAATGATGCACGAAAGGTCAAAGGTTCCACTGTGTCCAGTACACATCATATTTTTGTAGCGTCTATCATTCCCAAAGTAAACCTAACCACAATAAAGAAGGTGTAATAAACTTGTACACCCCTGCCTCTATAGGAACAAATAGAAAATTTGATATATTCAAATTCAATTATTAATTCAATATTATACATATGTATGTACCAATATAAGTCAAGTTATTATCTGAATCCATAATGAGTTTCAAACTAAAATAATTAATAGAAAAAAAAATGTTCTAAAGATGAAAGAGTTGATTTAGTCCACAACAAACCTGCTTTCCTCTCCCTCCAGGAGTTTACGATAAGCTGCCAATTCTAAATCTAGAGCTACTTTGGTGTCCAGAAGATCTTGGTAGTCTTTAATGTACTGACTAATCTGTTGCTTCAAGTGGTTCAGTTCGTCTTCTTTAGCTCGGTATGCTGCATTATGCCATTCGCGCTCCTGCTCCAACATCTGTTCCAAGTCTCGAACACGGTCTTCAAGGGAAGCATTCTAAAATGTCACAATTTGAAGCATTACCATCTTAAAGACAAAAGTGTTGACAAGTTCAATACGTACAATCAAAAATATGGAATTTTATTTTAAAAAATCTAGCATTATGGTAAAAAAAACTCAACATAAATGTGAATATTATTTCTTCTGTAACTTGTTTATCTATATAAGAACATCCACATTACGAGAAGCAACATATATTAAATTTATCCAGATCAGCAAAGAATGATAAAACAGTGCCATAGAAGCTAACCAATCACTCTTACCTTTCTTTCAAGTTCACCAATTTTTGATGATAGCACTTCAGTTTCAGATTTGTACTTCTTCATCTGATCTCTAGCCGAGGAAGCAAGAGCAGAATTTCTGTCTAGGTTATTTTGCAGGTCAGCAATCTACAAGTTTAAATATCAAATGTACATTTAATGATTATAATTGACTTCTGAACAATCTGGATATTAAAACAATAAAATATCAAAGTATACCTTACAAAAAATATCTTGTAAGAACTTTATAAAATATTAAAAAAAAAAGTTTTAAGCTACTTAGTACTTACGTATGTGCCCTGAAAGACTATACGCTGGACTTAAGTAAAGATGACTGAAGCAAATTCTTAATATCATTTACAAAATACAGCACTTGGAGGACTAAACATTATATGATTACATTGCATCAAATCATTGGTTGAGTATGATGGCCTTTAACAATGGTTTTTGTTGTACAGTATTTAGATGCTCTTCTGAAATATATTACATATGGAATCCATAATATTCCTACGTAGAATAATTCTCGAAAAAAAAAAAACTGTAAAAACTGGTTATATTAGTTCAGATTTTTTCTTTAATTTTGCAGCTACATAATATTTGATTTGAGTCAGTATTTTATCATTTCAATTTTCAACTTCTACTGTATCTTACTTTAATTTTAACATCAAAATTTTCAACCTTATAAAAAACCCATACATTCACTACCAGCCACATATACGAGTTTTTAAATTGATTCATTCACACAACTATTTACTTATTTTAATTACAAACAAGTTTGATGTACTGCAGAGTTTAACATGTATTGACATTGAAAGTACTTTCTATAATTTATAATTTCTTTGTTTCAATGGGATCAGACAAAGTGGCAGTTTTGTTGCCAAATTAAAAAAGAAATAGAACTCTTGTAGCCTTATCAGTTTACACAGTTTGCTTATTATGCATAAAATATGCATGTTTATTACTCTTAAAAATAGAAAATGGTTAGTTTTAGCCTGAACACCTTTAGAACAGGTCTTCAAAATTTCATTCAATAGCTTTGCCTACTTTTGATCCCAGAACCATGTGGTTTTCAAAAAAATATTTAAAATTCTCATTAATATCACTATTTGGCCAGCAATAAACTAAAATAGGTACATTTTTTTTATTGGTATGAAGAGGAAAGTTTAGTGTGAATACTTTCTAAAGGTTTTATTGTCACAATTGTAAGATCTGTTTTAAAAGGGCATTCAAAAAAGCCTGTATTTTGCCACTAAGGGAAGCAACTCCAAAACGTAATAAGCTTGCCAAGTACAGTAGCAAACACTGGACTGAACACTTGCAACATGAGCACCTAGCAACCATGGTTGGAAGATTCTAGAAGCTTATAAGTAAAAAAAAAACATAATAATATGTCATCCAATATCTGTTATATCCAGTGGCATTGAGATTTTTTACTCAATACCAGGGCTCATCATGCTAGCCGGAAGACAATAGACACAGTAGTGGTTAAGATGCTATTTATATTATCAAATTGCATGAACAACAACCGTTATGGTGTGAACTAGATTAAGCTGGTGAAGGGAAATTTTGATCAATTTTATTTAAGTCAGTTACAAATTAGAATCAGGTTAAGAATAAGTAACACAGCATTGTTTATTATATATATATATATTTTATAACTAACTTTGCTCTCATCAATCAGAAGAATTATGAAATCAACAAGCTAGTCTTCTTGTCCTGACTTTACCTCTCACAAATTTATATGTACTAATCATAGCACCAGCAGCATGATGCAATGAATTCAATCTGCATCTAATTAGCTGATGCATTACTTCTTTATTAGTAATATATAAATATTCTTGAAAGCTTATTGCATCAGTGTCAAATGAGAAAGACTTGATAAACCAAAATAAAAATACCCCCCTTCCTTTCATCTGGTCATTCTCATTCCCAGAATTAATCTTATATAACTCAACTCAGAAATACAGTGCACCATTTCACTCATGTGTTGTAACATTGAATTTACATTCAATCTTGCTCCTAATTCATCTAAGAATCATCACTAAATTACACAGAACAAAATATGATGTGGTGGATTAGGCCTAAATGCAAATTCGGTTTTACAGTACAAAAATAAACTGATGAAACGTAAATGATGCCATGTTAATGTGACATATCCTACTTTTTGAGATAAGCAGAATTCTGACTTTTTTTCACTCATGTGATTTTGGACGGATTAATTAATTAGATTAATGTATATTACCTTGGCTTCATACACAGTTTCAATTTCATCCCTATTATATTTCATCTGTGTTTCATACTGGTCCCGTAGTTCCTGCAAAGTCTCTGCTAACTTTTCTTCATACTGGTTTCTTTTCTGTGCATCAATTTCCTCAATCTCAGTTTGACGAACTGACCTCACCTCTTCCAATTCCTGAAAAACCACAGAAAAAAAGATGGATAGTTTCTACAAAAACATTTTAGCATCTAACGTATGTCATACTCCTAAAATGTACAGTTAGACTCCAGTAAAAGACAGTTAACTTTAACACTCTTTCTATATATAAATAAAAATATACTCTATACATTAAATAATTTCATTATCTAATCACTTTTAACTTACAAGGTGAAAAGTTCATTGTCTCTTTTCAACAAAATGCTTTTTCCGAAGTCTTTAAATAAAGATGAATTTAATAGTGTCACAAATGTATCTTCAGGACAATAGATTATAAAAAACAAATGTTAGAATTACTTTTGTGCATATAAGTAAAATAAACTTAACATTTGTAATCAATATATGATTTCAATAACTAAAAAATTATCCATTTCATAGTGACAAGTTAAAGTCCCGATCACCAAACAACCAAACTTAAAAATAGCAGTTCTTTTTTAAATAAAAAACAGTGAGGTGGTTGGGTGATATATTATTAATCACTTTTTGGACAAAAATCAATCTAATGACAGAAAAAAATTAAAAATCATTCAGAAAGTATCTACTTGGTGTTTTGAATGCAAAACATAGAGCAAACAAGAAATTAAATTCATTATGATCCCATCCTTCAAATGTGTGCCAGATATGCCACACTGGTTAAAACTATTCACAATATAATATAATGGGTCTGTACCAGATATTTCATATTAATATTATGTATGTATGCACAATTATTTTAAAATATTTATTAATATACAGTTACATTAGCTGTTCCTCAAAACATAGGAAATTTGAATGAATTAGTTTGTATGAAAGTCATAAAAGCCTTTATTTAGGCACAAGCAAACACTACATTCATAGTTGATTTCCTTTTACAGCCTGGTAGTTTTCAACTCTAGTAATCATCAGGCATAGGCAGGCCTGTGTGCAAATGCATCTATTTTTTGCATCAGGTACTGGAGTTGGTGCAGCCAGAACTTTTCTTTAATTTCCCACTCAATATTTTGAACTTAGATTGTCCTCTTTTTTGTGTGTGAAGTCCTTTTTTGTTTGATCAAAGACTGCCTTGAAACTTAGTGAATCAAACTGTTTTGATTTCAAGATGCAATGCATCTCATCAATACAATAATCAATAGTTGATACCGACCGTGTCTGGAATTTAAGGTGTAATCTTTGGTAAAACTTCTAGTGCCTAAAGCATGTATTCCTCTCTGAGCTAGTACACTTAGAAGTTTGAGAGATGAAAACAAATTGTCAAAAAAAGCAGATGCAATTTATTCCTTGAAATTTCTGGTCAAGCTTCAGGACAATATATGAACTAGGATCTAGATCAGGAAAGTCAGGCACTGGTTGAATTTTTCCAGTATAGATTTCAAAGCCATGCACTATTTTATGGATATCATATGGTACAAATATTTTGTATCCACATTTATTATAAGGCTTTGGGATAATACTGTATCAGTGTGTATCAACATTTGAAAAGTGCAACTTGTTCATTTACACATAGTTTTTATTGTTGTGCTGAGAACCTCTTGTACAACTGACAAGTGGAAAAAAGGGGCTATTGTCATGTTCTATAAATCTAATCAAAAACACTTTAGGTGTGAAAAAAAGTGCTGCCACAAAAAAAAAAAGATTGAGCATGTAACTTAAAGGAATGAAACCCAAATTGGTGGCCAAACTGGTAGCTGCATTTCTAGCAATGATAATAATTTTACAGCAAATATTCATTCATTAGTTAGCTAGGTTGTGTTTTTTTGTTTAACTTGGGGCATATATTTTATCTACTGAAACAAAAACTGTAAATTGCAAAAACAACAGCATAAACATGGTTATTAATGATGATGAGAAACCCAACTGAAGTAAAAATGTATAGCAGAGATGGCTGGTATGGGTATTAAAAACTTTAATTAAAATAAAGTACAAGAACAATGTTTCAACCTTCTTAGGTCATCTTCGGGTTAACAAAAACAATTTGAAACTGACCATTACTTGGCACATGTTTTAGGGACGAGAGTGTAAACATGTACGAGATTGTAGGGGGCATAGCAGTTAGACGTTAGGTGATAAATATAGGTATAAAGGTGTTCCTTTATGTTGGTTGAATTTTGGTTTGAGTTCTTGTATAAGTAGGGCTTCTTTGATTTTTTGTTTGTTTGTCTTTGTTTCTCTACTTAATATGTTTACTTGTTTTGCAGTGTTCAAAAATGTGGGAAGGTGTTTTTCTGTGTTCATTAAATCTGGTTTCTATTTTTCGGCTTGTTTCTCCGATATAGAAGTCATGGCAGTTGTTGCATTGTATTTTATAAATAATGTTGTTGTTATGTTTATCAGTGTAGTTTTTACATAGTATGGATTTTAGTTTTGTGTCCGGTTTTTGAATGAATTCAATGTTTATTGGAATGTTATATTTTGTTGCAAGTGTTTTCCAAATATTGATTATTTTTATAGCTAATATCAGGGTTATGCTCCCAAGTGCTTCAGAATGTGGTTTGCCTTTGTCTGCCCCAAAGTTGCAATTCATAAAGCTGTCCAAAGAGAGAAGCACATAGCATTCATAGGGATCTAGGAATATGCTTTTTATGACCTACTGGTCACTATCTCCAGTTTGCACATATAACAATGAGTAAATGCTGTACAAATGGTAGGTGCCATACATAACCGATGTGGCAATAAGAGGTTAAGTCTTTCACTACTAACTTGGTGGATTACACTGCCCATGTGACAATTGGTTTCCATATTATAACTTTCACCATGTTTTGTATATCTTCAGAAAATTTTTCAAGCCTTCAGTAAACATTACAAGTCTTTTGTAGAAAAAAACCAGGATTTTTAAGTAAGTACTTTTCCTAAAACTTTGTCCATGTATATATGGAGTCAGTGTTAACTGCTCTGAGTCTAAAGTGATTTTCACATTAAGATTAAAAATAATTTTCTTAATCTGAAAATTTTCAACTTTCATTTCCATAATCTCTAAAACCTCCTAAATGAATATCAAATGTTTGTTTTCTGGAAAACTTTATATTTGTTATTGTTATTTTCTCTACCCTAACTCTATATGAGGTCAGTCAATGTTTTAAATATTTTCTTTCAAATTAAGAAATTAAAACATATACAATATTAAAATTTGAATTATAAACCACATTGTAATGTCAATTTTACTGAAAACCAATAAATATAAACCCCAAAAACATATCAGTTGGTCAATAAATCAAAATCTTATAGAACCATCACCTTCTCCAAGTTATAATGTGCAAGGTAACAAAAACATCAACACATTATACAACAAACCTGTTAGCTAATCTCCTTTCAAGACTGAGAATAGCATGCATTCATGCACTAGGTACAAGTGGTGTTGATTTGAAGACAAACTTTTTTGCATATGACAAAAAACAAGACACAACAAATCCAGTAATACTAAGCTCATCAACAATGGACTAAATCCGTCTGTAGAAATTCCATGTTGCCTAACAACCTCCAATTTACCCTTAACAACAGTTATGAACATGTTTATGTACAGCAAACTGTACCTGAAGCCTACAATATTCTTTTTAGTGCAAAAGAAGACTGCTTTGCAAAAGAAACTATTTTTTAAAATGATCAGAATTCTCTATTCACTTTGCAAGGTTGGGCTGTTGCTACATGGTATCTGGGCATCTTCAATGAAGACGTATTGCTGATCATTTAGCATCACAAACCAGGTGATAGTGATGTGTTTTCATACAGTAATGGCATGGTTTGGAGGTACATGAAGTGTCTTCCATTACACATGGTATCCCATCCAGTTGCCAAATTTTAAACTAATAAAGTGATCATGTGGTGCTCAGGAGAGGTAAATGAAAAAACTTTCAACAATGGTCAAATGTCATTTTAAATAAGTGGCTCATTTCAAAGAACAGATAAAGAAAACTACTGTAGGTACATTGTCAGTATGCACTGTACGATTATAGTGGTCTGGCAAAAACTGTCATCACATTCTTTATTAATTAAAATTAGCATTGTGTTGTAAATTTTGAAGTGGGGTTGATACATAAAAACTTACTGTTTGATGCATAGAATCCTTGAAAGACAATTCCTCTGACAAACTCTGACATCTGTTTTCCATTTCTACTCTTTTCAGCATCTCATCCTCCAGCTGTTTCTTAAGGGCTGCTACCTGTTTGATCAAGTTATCCCTCTCATCTTGAACTTCCTGTTTAAAAGTTACCAAAGTGTTAATTAAAAGTACATATTTCATTCTTATGAATAAATAATCAACAATAAACTCAAGCGTACTGCTTCTGAAAGTTCAAAAGTAGAATAAACTTCAAATAAAATGTCAAATTTAAAATTAGATGATTTTATATTCAACTTTCTAAAAACAAAAACTGCTTTAAATTAAATTAAACACCTAATTATAATATGGATATAATCATCTAAATCATTATAAAAGAACAATAACAAAATATTGTGTAAAGTCAGATTTCACATATAATACAGAGTAGCTCTTAAGAACAAGTCACTCATTCAAGATACCAACTATATGTATTGAAGTTTCTCATATTCTTTTTTTAATGATCCGATGGATAAAACTAACCACTGATTAATCTTATAAAAAAAGTTTTTAAAGATTTAAAATAATAACACAATCTTGTTTGTGGGGGAGTGTATGGAATACTTATACTCATGTAGTTACTACTTAAAACATCGGGCTATCTGCTGAGTCCACCACGGGGAATCGAACCCCTGATTTTAGCATTGTAAGTCTGAAGACTTATCGCTTTCACATAGGGGGACCAATTTGGGTTAAGGGCCAAAAACACCACTTGTAGAAAAGGTACCCAAATGATAACTTAGGGAAGTGTAGTCATAGAAGCTTTTTGTAACTTGCCAATTATTCATAATTAAGACAATTTTTTATTAATTATTATTGTAGAATTTTAGCAGCTCTGCTGGCAGAAAGTATTACATAATTTGGTTTATCTAAATAAAATAAAACCATATTGAAATAATAAAATAGTGTATTGAACTATTATTTTTTTCAAGCTAAATTTTATTATTTCTGAAAACATGAAGGATTTCTCAAAACAAGTTGGAGAGACTGTAAAAGTGGTTTATTTATAAGATGCACTTAATGAGGAGGGGCAGGTCAAAAACACAAAATTAGACCTTTTAGCATCCAATTTTCAATGAACACCAACACACGAACCAAAAATGTGACATACACAGCCAGAGCTGCAGTAACATCACAAACACAAAAAAAGGAATATTCAATATTAAACACAAAAAAGCACATATGTATCTTGCTACACTCTCCAAGCCAGATGAAAATTTATTATACTTTAACTTAACACATTTAAAAAAATAAAATGAACCAAATACAACAGACTTTGTTTGAGAAACCAAAGAGCTATAAAAGTCATTCTTTTATTTATTGACACGTGCATGGATTAAAATAAAGCTTATCTAATATGAAGTGAAGTGCTGCAATGAAATTTAGCATATGCAAAGGCAGCAACTTCTCCCTAATGCCAGTATCTATAATGTAGGGAACTTGTTATATGAGAATACAGTTAGAAATCAAGACAATGAAATAAAAATAAGGATACACACCACGATGAAAAAAATTCTAAGTAAAAGATGTTGATCAGGTATATTTTACACAGGCAGTAAGTTTTGCTACCACTGACAAAACTCAGGCAGCAAATTACTTTGCTTTTGTATTAAGTATGGCATAATGTGGAAGAATCTTGTCAAAATGCATTGTGCCATTTTGTCATGGTGTTGTCCTAACTAATGCACTTATGAAGGCATTTGTTTTTTGTTGCTGTGGGCTTGTTGCCATAACATCAAGGACTAAATTTTGCATTATACCTCAATTTAAACATTGATGGGGTAAAAGATAAGCATTGTCACCAATGTTTCCAGAAAGTCAAAATGAAAACAATATTTCTGTATTCTAATGTTAGCAAAATACAGTCAAATAGACACATCAACTTTGTTTTCAAATGTTTCATTTGTCATGTCCCATAAAATCACTAATTTTTCTGTTTCCTTTCTATGAAGTAGTAATACTCTATCATTATCTGTTTCATTAGTTTTATTCTTTGATTTACACAAGATCAATGGAGATTGCTGCAAAGCTAAAAAACAAACAGAATGGTGAGCATGTAGTCATCTTGACTTGAGTGACCTGCCAAGTTCAGAATATTTCTAACAAACTTTGTGCCAAAAGTTTTAGGTAAATTTTTTTTTCTCATAAATACACAAATGGTGACCACCAAACAATGTTTATCATAATAAACAAAGGATAATTTGAAAATGATTAAAAAAAAAACTAGCTGAAATAGAAAGATTAATCTTATATGAGAATAATTAAATCATCTGGCTTTTCAATCAGTTACATTCAACTAATCATCCACCTATATTTGCTGCCATGCAAAAAAAGTTAACTTCTACCCCTGAAGATGTCTCTCTCATCCCAAGATACTTGTCAGTAAAGAGTTTGAAGGTTGAAAGCCTGTGCCCTAAAGATTTTGTTGATTCTGCAAACATGCATGCATGGACATTACTTTTTATGTTCCAAGCATGTTCTGTTTATTTTCTTTCAGTAAATAATTGTACTACCATGAGTCATTCAAATTTCCAGTACGTTTGTAGTTTTGCCCCAAATATTTGAAACAATACGGTACTCTGCACACAGCCTCAGATATGTATAATAAACTTGGAACAATGGCATGAAAAGTACTATTTTCTTTCTCATAAATTAAAAATGGTACAATGTAAATGTGAATGGTAAAGGCTTCATACTATATACATAGTATGTTGTTGTCCTACCCAAGGAGCCCACAGTACAAAACTGAATAGCTGATCAACATGGGATATTTTATTTAATGACTTATTCATAATACCGTGCTTCATTATTTTGATCATTTTTGATGAAAAAGAATGCAATGGGTTCTATGATGATCTCACTTGTATTACTTAATTATATAACTAATAAACAAACAGGTTTTTAATGCAATAAAATACTGGAAACAAGACAACATATAACTTTGAACAGTTTCAAAAACTTTAATATAAGAACTAATATTAGAATAAGAATGTGGTATGAAATAAATTATTAATAGATAAAGCAATAAATAAAAATATAGCAAATACTATATAGCTTTGAAAATACGTGTATATACAATTACCTACCCTTAGTTCATCTTCGAGTCTTTTTCGGTCTGAAACTGCTTGGTTGAGACGAGACCGTAAGTCTTGAACTTGAGATTCTGCATAACTAACTCTTCTTTCTGCAGTGGCAAGATCCTTTTCTTTTTTATTAAGTCTGGTAAATAATTAAAATAGCTTTATAAAGCCAAAGATCCAAATAACAACTAAATAATTACAATAGATTGAAAGGGATGTATATGATTAAGAACTTGTTCCTGTCATCAACAAGCTAGAGAGCATTAACTTTACATCCAAGACTTGTACAGAACCTACTAGCAGTAAACACTCAAAAATCTTAGATAATGAAAATTAATTATAAAGAAGTTCTAGATGGTATTAAAATGATTAATAACCTTTGATTCTAAAGGGTGTGGTACATGCGACGAGATCTGTGTGTGTTGCTATATTTAGTAAGTGTTACTGTTTTCAGTATTCGGAGTAATTGATACGTTAGAAAATCACTGAGAACATTATATTATTGTCTTTTGCATATTAAGATGATACTGATGATGGTGTAATAATCTTGAAATTTTGTGGAATTTGAAGAAATGAGTTAATAATATAAATACAGGTAATGTGTGTGTGTGGAAAATCAATAAGAATTTAGTGAAGTATTTAATGAATGTTTGTAGCTCAATGTTTGTAGTGAGAGTTATAGCACAAGTTCACTGACTGATAAGCAAGGATATTCTGTAACGATTTTGTACGTTAGGTGTACCATTAGTTTCAGAATTTCTGTTCAAATGATGTTTGTGAACCTAGGCCTATAATTTGTGTCACAGTGAATGCAGCAAACATTATAAAAGACATAAATAACTTTGATATTGTTACATGGACTATATTCCTAACTTACACAGTATTTTTTTGTGTGTAAATTTGTGAATAAAATAGTGATTATACTACAGCTTACAAGTTATAACTTAACACATACTGTGACTGTGAGTCGTGACATAGGTTAAACTAACCAAGGACTGAAGTTGAAGGAGACAACTATAACTTAGTATCTAGACTCAAGCTGAGGAAGGCAAATGAAATTGCTAAATGAGTAAATCAGTAGTAAATGGAATATCACCTTTCTTGTAATTCCTCTACTTCTTTCTTCCACTTTCCAGCTTCAATCTGCAATCTTGCTTTCTCCTTGGCTGTCTCATCAATAAGTCTTCTGGCATCTTTCAGTTCCTGCTCATAAAGAGTCTTGATATTTGTTACCTCTTTGGTTATAGTTTCCTGGGTTGTCTGAACCTGTCGTGTCAAACGATTATTTTCATTTTCCAAATTTCGAACACGATCGATATATGCAGCTAACCTATCATTTAGATTTTGAAGTTCAACTTTTTCTTGCATTCGAGACAGTTTAGTAGGTGATAACGGCGAACTTGGCCTTTCAGTATCATTCTCATACCGACTTGTAGACACATGTGGACTCTGAGCTGTCGTATTAACGCTTGATTGGTATCTTGTTGTAGTAGTAGATTTTCGAGTTGTTTTTGATGCCATAATTATAAAATTTAAAAAACTGTCGTTTACTATAAACAGCACAAGCGATTTCCAAACGGTTTAACAATGAAGCAGTACCGGTAAACCACACCTTTACATCAGCCTCTTCGTACAGAAATTCGCGGCTACAGCAACGGCGACCTCTATTTATGAAAAGTTAAATCAGCTATTATTATATCACTCCGTTGAAAAAAACAACGTACAGCGAAGTGTATTGTTGTAAAAATATAATAATTTTGACAAGAACAGAATTTATCATTACAATATCTATAAATTAATGTATTGCTTTAACTATTTATATTGATATATTTGCTAATAAGTTAGCTATTGCTTCATTTGGCTTTTCATTCTCCAGCCTACGCGCCTCCCACGTTGTCTAACAAGACCCAGCTTGCTTTGCAGCTGCTCAAACATAAAATGATGTCATCACCACTATTGGAAACCGGTAATAGGTGAAGCAAGTTTTGACTGTCATCCTGAATACGTACTTTAGATGCTGATCGGCGAGAATGTGAAATAAGATTATTAACACATTAGCTACGTTTAAGGAGTGTCCACCATAACGATTTGGTACAAAAGTTCATTCGATCTAGTACGGTAATAAAGAATCACGAATTTAATTGAAAATGTATAAATTTCTAGCAAGTATTGTTTATAGTTACACTTTAGTTTTTATTAGTACCATATTGATTAAACAGAATTACAATTATTATCTTAATTATATTAACCTAGTTAATATTATAAACAAAATTTTGAATTTGTTTTACTTAAATAAAACAATCTACATGAAAAGTTCACCCTATATTTGATAAACGATAAAATACTCAGATATGCCTAATTTGGAAATTTTTGGAGGTTAGTTCGAAAAGACAGACTGATAAATTTAAGATATAAATATTATATCCGTAACTACTAAAATAAACGATTAAAAATTAGTTTGGTTTGTTGAATTTTCACTCAAAACTACTCAGGACTATCTACGCCTGCCGTCCTTGATTTGGAAGGAAGCTTGTCAACGCCAACCGCCGCAAACTCTCGGGCTACGCTTTATAGCGAATATTGTATTTGAGTGTCATGGCTGAAGGCAAGTATGTTCGGCTACGGTTTTCGATTACACAACCTGCACATTGCGATTCGAGCGCCCTAAATACTAAGCCATGCTAACCCCTCCGCCATAGGTAAATTTTAGTTATTAACTTAACACGTAATGAATCATAAAAGGAATTCATCCTTCTAGCGATTGGCTACTTTAACATGTAAATATTCGACTTGTAAAACTATGTCAAGAAGAAACAGGAATATTTATGTTGCCAAAATATCGTTATATACAACATCCCATGTATTATTGATGAAATATTGTCTAAATTTGCAATAATTTTATTTATTTTTATCTCTTTAACGACCACGTCAGATAAAATAACTTAATTTGTCACGTATTCCTCCAGATCATATATGTGATATACCGAGGTGAAACTGAATTTACTTAAGAACACTTAGGATCGCGGGATCGAAACATGCTCGCCCTTTTAGCAGTGGAGTTATAACGTAACAGTCAATTCAACTGTTCGTTGGTAAAGTATAACCCAAGAGTTGGCGGTAGGTGGTCTTGATTAGCTGCCTTCTTCCTGGTCTATAACTCAAAATTAGGGACGACTAGTGTAGATACTTCTCAAGTAGCTTGGCATAAAATCAAAGAAAGAAACTTAACAACAACTCTATATCTCCACTTAATAACATGGGACTTAACAATATATCTTTTACTACGTAATTATGTGTTCTGACTCTGTCTGAATTTAAAAAAGCAAGAGACTGAATACAATATAAAACATACAGTGAAAACAATCTTTATATGTACTCAAAAACACAATAACAAATGTACAGATATACAATATAAAGATGTTTGATAAGAATCTTTGTAAATAGTAATACTCTCCTAAAGTTTAACCTGTAAATATAACTTTAATTAAAGAACTTGTTCTTCACTTACCAAACTGAGCTTTATACAGAGTTAATAAAGAGAATATACCCAATATCTACAACAACAGCATTCTTTCAGATGCAGATGCGACCTAGATTACAGTTATTCGACCTCGAGGTGTCACCTGACCTACCATTGGAGGACACTGATGTTTATATAGTTGCATAACGCACACGACTGCAGCAATACCCATCATGGACAAGAACAGGAATTATCTTAAGAAAATTACAGATGAACAAAGCCAATTAAAACGAAATCAATAAGATATACATATTGCTTACCAATATGATAACATTAAGATATAAAGTTATTATATTTAATATATTTGATGAAGGAAGTTTAGTAATTCCCGAACTTCCGAAAACTCCAGCTTCTCTCAGATAGCTGAAAATATATTATATGCCAGTATATATCGGAGAGCAGCTGAAGTTTTTTTTTTTTCCCGGAAATTTAGTATATTAATCTGTACGCCTTTAACATATAAAAAAAAAATGGAACAGCATGCATAATTATGAAATTCTAGTTTATGCATCATTGTGGGAGTTTTATCCCTAGAAGGCAATTATCTAGGTCAGATCTAAGCGAATATGCTCTGAGAAGTCCACGAGTTTTGGGTTAATTTCCATGTAGGTGCAGTAAAAACACAATACTAAAACTATGATTTGATTTTATATTACTTTGAAAACATTAGAAACAGTATAAGAAAAGCAGACAAAAAGTCGGTTTATCTGTAAAGAATATCTTTAAATTTCACCTTTAACTTTAATATGCTGAAAACAATTAGAGAAAAAGATATATTATCAGAAGTAAACTTTGCCTTAATCTTTAAAGCCTCAGGACAGTGCATTGTATTTTTAAAAATATCAAATATTTAATTAGGCAAGAAATATCCTAGCTCCTTTACTAGAAACCTTTGTCTTCTTAAAGCAGGAATTAACTACACTTAATCTAATTTACAACAAACCCTTAATACGGATAGAACAATTGTATTTTAATAATATAACTTAATATTATATAAACCTAAAAACCTTATTCAACCTAGCATTCAGTGGAATGGTTACGAATTTGAAACTTCTAAAATTTTGAAAAAAATCTCAGAAGCCCCAAGGTTAACAATACATCAGTAACTCTAAAAAAATGCACCTCATCTTTAACAATACGTCAGTAACTCTCAAAAAATGCATCTCGTCTTTTTGTAAACAATATATAACACTTAAAGTATATTCCGAAATATTTCTAAATTTTCTCGCTTTTGTTCTACGTGTAGATAGTGACGACTTTTTAAGCCAGATGTGGGAAGGTCGTCTACGTGCGCTGTATTTTATCTTAGGCAAGGGTTACATACTACAATTATTGTTCTAATATTCTGGTATTTATTCTAGATAATATTCTTGTTCTGTGCGGAAGTTTTGGCAAACTGCTCTCTTCCCCAGTGGTTACTTGCAGTCTTCAATGACGTTAACGATCACAGACTTAACGATGAAGACTTCATTGTGTGTGAATAAAGATTTCGTTCCTTTCTTGTCAGTGTTAATTCTATATACTGCAATATATTTCCGGAAACTTCATTTGGCGGTAACTTCATACTTTTTTTTCTTTTTTTTTATGGGTATCATTGTACTTGAATTCCGCATCAATATTTCCTGGCCAAGTAAGAATTCCAAGCCTCCTACTACTTGCAACACTGAATTTAGATGATCACTATCCAAAGAAGAAAAAATAACTATAGCTTGATCATTTATCCAGTAAATGTAGGTGTACTTTCTATTAGTTGTGTAGACACGTGTGTCAGCCTTAAGCCTAAACCGAAAACAACTTCCACTTGAATACACAACTTTAAACTATTTTTATACATTAACAAGCTAGCTAAGATCTTAGAAGATAGCTGTCTCTCTCAAACTTTATGTCAAAAGAAATACGTATGTTTAAGAATATTTGACTTAGTTGCGTCTTTGAACATTTAACAAATTTTAATTTATTTAATTAATTGTATATATGTATATATACAAAATTTCTGAGCTTATCAGTTAACCACAATCCATTACTATGTTATAGCCATATATATATTTACCTCATCTTATAAGGGTGTTCTAACGACAGCAAGATTCTACCGATTTTCTGCCACAAAATGCTAACAATGACCAATATTCATAAACGCATACAGTTCTAAACTATTTTTCTTTTTTTTTACTTAATGAGAAAAACAAATATGAGGCAACAATATCAAAACACAAACTGTGCGTTTTAAAACACACTCAAAACTTATAGCATTCACTATCTCTAACAGATGGCGCTACTTTACCGTATACTTCGTTATTATTACAGGAGAATAACTACAACAAAACAGACAAACGTCACATATAGTACTTACAGCAGCTAAGGGGACATTTAATAATAAACCGATGATAAATACATTAATTTATCCAGTAACTATCATAATTATCAAATCATTTCGTACATCAATTGTAGTTTATAAAGAGGACTTATTATTTATTTTGGAGAGCTATATCACTATTTATTATTATTTTTCTTTGCAAAAGCTGTTTAATGACACACAATAAATGCAGTACTTGTATACGGTTATATTACAGATTTCATTTATTTTCTTCAAAGGTAAAATTGAAAATATAATTTGTAACGTGAAGATTTAACATATTCTTTGACTTGCCATACTTCCTGCTGTGGACTGCAGTTTTGCCTCTACAAGACTATCAGCACAGCTTAGATGAGCAAACTAAAGAAATGCAGTAAGGCATCCTATATTGGCTATCTGTATGTAACATTTATGGAAGGTTTAAGTACTTTTAACTTAGCATTATTATACACATACTAAAATTCACTTAGGTTACTAAATGGGAAAATAAAAATAAAAATAACTCCATAAATGTTATATACCTGTATACAATATAACTAAAACCCTGTAAAAAATCAGGTTGTTTTCCTTAGTTGTTAACGGATTTAATTTTATTAAATTTTGAAAGTTTATTTTCATAATTCTTTGCAAGTTTGTAGTCAAATTATGTATAAAAATCAGAATTACAGATATATATATATATATAATAACATTTTAAAAAACTACTTTCCTTTAAACGTGTAAACCTGCGAAAAAAGTTTCGTTGTTAGACAA